GGCAAAAAATATTGAAGTTTGATTGTACATGGGCCACATTTGACTTTTGACCTAGCACAATTGATTTTCAAGCATTTGAGCAATTGACTGAGCAAACTTAATGTGCAAGGCATGAAATTTGGCATGGATAATCTTGAAGACATATTAGGACCATGGAAATCATTTTAGACCTTTTGATCTCAACCATCTTGATGAAAATTGAAACCCTAGTTGGGGGTTCATTGCCTTAGGACGAGAATTTGTCTAGTCAATTCTTGGTCATCCTTGGGCAAGTTGGGGACCTCAAGGGGCATGTGTTGAGTAAAAAAGGAGGGAAAATTTTGGGGTACAACACTCGGCAGTAGATTCCTTGGAAATCTCGGCAGTAGATTTCCCACTAAGAGCCTCACATCAAGCATGACGTACATATAACTATATCAAAATCTCAAGGTCATCCATAACATTTTGTGCATCTAACATACAAAAACACCAAAGAGAATTAGATAAAAGCATCAAAAAAGCATTTTTGGTTAGAAGAGCATCGAAAGGAAATCTGCGCCCACGCCTACGTCTACGACTATGTCAAAGTCCACGCCAATGTCCACATCCATGCTTATTTCTACACCCATACCTACGTCTATGACTATATCAATATCCACGCCAAAATCCACGTCTATATCCATACTTATGCATGCGCCTACGATACAAACCTCAAGATATTGCTGACATCTTTCACCAAATTCAAATCAACTTGGAGGTACAACATTAGCAATGAACAATGTTAGAGAGTTGGCGACTATGAGAAACCGATGGTTTAACAAAAGAGATTTATCAAAAGTATTTGCAAAATACTTGGGGCATACACATACATTTGGGGCATATACATATATTCAGGGAATGTACACATATTGGGAGCATACACATTCTTAATGCATACACATACAAGCATTTAGGGCATAAGCACATGAGCATTTTTTTACAAACACATTGTAAACATGTTGGGCATACATTACACCTGGATAGTACATCAATTTAGGGAATTATGAATGCAGTTCATCTTGCAGAGCTACTTTGATTAGAATTGCAAATTTTCTTGGGGTTCTTCATTAGCAAGCTTATCTGTGCAAACTTTATAGTTCAAACTTTAAGCAAATTTGGTGTTTATTTGCTTCATGTTGATAGTTATGGTTGAAGACGACACAATCGACTTCATCGTGAATTTGGGGTATATTCGCTTCATGTTGATAGTTGTGATTGATAACGACACAACCGACTTCATCATGAATTTGGTATTCTGCACATTGATAGTTGTGGTTGAGGACGACACAATCGACTACATCGTGAATTTGGGGTATATTCGCTTCATGTTGATAGTTATGGTTAAGGACGACACAACCGACTTTATCGTGAATTTGGGGTATATTCGCTTCATGTGATAGTTGTGGTTGAAGATGACACAACTGACTTCATCATGAATTTGGTGTTTTGCACGTTGATAGTTATGGTTGAGGACGACATAACCGACTACATCGTGAATTTTGGGTATATTCGCTTCATGTTGATAGTTGTGGTTGAGGATGATACAACCGACTTCATCATGAATTTGGTGTTCTACATGTTGATAGTTATGGTTGAGGACGACACAACCGACTTCATCATGAACTTGGGGTTCTGCATGTTGATATTTGTAGTTGAGGACGACACAGCCGACTACATCGTGAATTTGGGGTATATTTTCTTCATGTTGATAGTTGTGGTTGAGCACGACACAACTGACTTCATCATGAATTTGGTGTTCTGCATGTTGATAGTTGTGGTTGAGGGTGACACAACCGACTTCATCATGAATTTGGAGTTTTCTTCATGTTGGTAGTTGTGGTTGAGAATGACACAACCAACTTCATCATGAATTTGGTGTTCTTCACGTTGATAGTTGTGGTTGAGGGTGACACAACCAACTTCATCGTGAATTTGGTGCTTCTTTTCTTTATGTTGATAGTTGTGGTTGAGGATGACACAACCGACTTCATCATGAATTTGGTGTTCTTCACGTTGATAGTTATGGTTGAGGGCGGCACAACCAACTTCATCATGAATTTGGTACTTATTTTCTTCATGTTGATAATTATGGTTGAGGGCGACACAACTGACTTCATCATGAATTTGGTGTCTTTCACGTTTATAGTTATGATTGAGGTCGACACAACCAACTTCATCGTGAATTTGGTGCTTATTTTCTTCATGTTGATAATTGTGGTTGAGGGCGACACAACCAACATCATCATGAATTTGGTGTTCTTCATGTTGATAGTTGTGGTTGAGGATGACGCAACCGACATCATCGTGAATTTGGTGTTCTCTTCATGTCGATAGCCTTGGTTGAGGACGACACAACCGACACCATCAGAGAATTTTGGGTTCCATCACTTCAAATCTAGCATATTTGATTTGGCTATCGAATCTTGGTTGAGGGATGACACAACCAACATTGTCTTTCCAAGTTCCAAATATCTGGTTTCAAGCCCGTATTATGTAGGCTATGGTAGGTATGTGAAAAATCTTTGTCCCATTGTAGCAATATATTGCCAAGCTTTATGATATTCATCCCCTAGGTTGCGATGGATATACGAAATCTACGTCATAAACTTACAATCTCTTAGATACTGACGAGTTATCCGCGTCGTCATGTCTAAATTCAATAAAAAACTTTGGTTTAAATGCTGGTAAGATGATACATCATCATCTATGCCTACTCTTCATACCCATGTATCTTTATAATCTTTCATCTTGTGTTGTCTACCTCCTAGGTCATGGTAAATATAAAAAAAACTATGATCTCTTTTCTAGGTATTGACAAGTTGTCCACGTCGTCATATCTAGGTCAAACTTATTCTTTAATCTCTCTATTCAAACTCAGGTAGGATGATACATAATCATTTTTTCATATTTCTCGGTGCTCTGGGGTATGCTATATTAGTTGAAACAACTGGCTGAAAATCATCAAACAATGAAGTCGCCATCGAACGTCTTTTATCCCACAGGAAGGGAAAGGTAAACATCGAGAAAACCCGAGAAGGATGAAATCAAGGTCGAACGACCAAGAGATAAGGGTAAGGGAGTCTGTTACGCAACGGGAAGGTATTAGCACCCCACACGCCCGTAGTACTCTACGGTATCCACTCTTGTCATCTATCTTATGGGTGTGTTTAATCTATGCTTACTGTTTATTATGCTACTAAAGGGATAATGCATGCAAAAATAAAAGAGAAAAGAATGTAGGGAAAATGAAAAGTTGTGCTCGCTTGGGCCCTACCCCAATGCCTACGTATCCCTTTTAAGGAATCAGAGCAGCCGTAGTTCGGCTTACATGTTTTTGTTTATTTGTATTTTTTACTGAACAGTATTAATTTCGCCTTCTGCCGCAACTCGACCGTTGGAGACTTACGCGTTAGCACAGAAGTGAATTAACATGCTCTCTTGAAAAGTTTGGAAAGAAATGTGTCTGGACGCACAAAAAAGGTTGAATTTGTTTGTTTTTGTAATGAATGATATTAATTTCGCCTTCTGCCGCAACTCGACCTTTGGAGATTTACGCGTCAGCACAGAAGTGAATTAATACGCTCTTTTGAAAAGGGTTTGAAAGAAAGGCCCGAAGGCAAAAAAAGATTTTTATGTTTGTTGGTGTTTTTCGCTTGTAGAGAATAGCTAGTTGATCTCAAGGGAGAGATTTTAGCCATGTCTCTACTTATTCATGAAATGAGTCTTTGAGACTTGAACCACACCAAAGCTTAGAATAAGAGATCAATAAGGTCGAGAAGAGACCCGCTTATCGTCTCACATACTTAACGAAGATATGATTCTCGTCAGTAAATTTTTATGTGCTTTTGAAGTTTGTAAAAAAGGAGAAGTTTTTGTTTTAACTGCATATACAAAAAAAGGAAGAAAAGTCACAGGGAGACTAGCCTATTTCTAACTCTAATTTTATCATGCATTGTTAGACCTAAGTCAAGTATGAGTGAAAGAAAAACATCTACCTAATGTTATCATGCATATGGTTTGCGATAAAGAAATGCAATAAAGTGCGAAATGAGGGATAAAATAAGGCCACGATGATACCGAACGGAGAAGGTCCGTTGCCTTTTCAAAGTCACACAAATGATAAGAAAACTCTACCGAAAGCTGCTCCGCATGAGTGATCATAGACTTAATCTCCAAGCATTCCATATTGCAAGAATTACATCGATGCTATATCACAAAATCAAGCAAATTCGTGTAACACGCTCAATAGAAGTAGTTTTGACATTATAACTTCTGAAGCACCAACGCTAACAGAGAAGGTTCATTGCCTCTTCAAAGCCACACAAGCGATGAGATAACTATACCAAAGGCCTCTTAAATATTTCTCAATGGAGATTGCACTCTTAGTTCGTTTCGAAACATATTGAACCCAAGTCTCTTTTTATCCCATAATCTCACACAAAATTGGCATTAAAACCTACCAAAAATCATGGCTAAAATAACAGCAAAAGATTACTAAACATTAACAAAAGATTACAAAATGATAATAATAAACAAACTAGATTCTAAAAGATTTCTAAACAAATTCTAAAGAAAAATCTAAAATCAATTAGAATGCTTATTATTCTTACCTTTTTCATAATAAAAAATAATATAGATAGAAAAGTGAAACTAAAACTACAATTAAAGGGGAAATAAAAGTGAGTCAGAGGGGAGTGCAAACTGTAGACAATGGTACTGAATAACAATCAGAATTCTAGTATTAAGCCCAAATTGCATGAGTCCATAAGCCCTTTTTGTTCACAAGCTGAGAAGCTACCAAAAATGCCATTGGACCAAGGCAATGTGTGATCCGATCCAGTCCAATATCTTCTCACTGATTTTTTTATTGTATAAACAAAGGTAAAAACAAAAATTAACAATTAACAACAAAAATAATGATTGCAAAAGGGGAAAAGAGATTGGAACCGTGCGTTTTAGATAACATAGGGTTTTAAAGTTTTATGACAATTGGAGTTCACGACCCGACTTTCTCAAAGCGGCACGAATTCACCTTCTCCATTCTTCATCTCCGCTTCTGCCGCCGCCTGTGTTCGTCTCCATCTTCATCGAACGGACGATCTTCAAGTTGTTCCAAATCGAACACCAACGGTGAAGTTCTGATTTCACCTCTACTCATCATCCCTACCGGAGCAACACCGGTGGTTTCTTTCAATCGCGAGGACGATGCTGCGAAGATCAGAGAATAGATTAATCCGAGTAAGCTTTCACTTCATCTAATCTCCTTCGTTCCTCCCCGGAGATTCTCTTCTTCTTCTTGTTGCATTTTTGTTGCGGTTCTTGTGCGACTTTGTTGCAGAGAAGTTGTATTGTGAAGCCGGTTAAAGTGTAGTGATGTCGATCGAAACGTTGATGTGTTATGTTTTGATGCAGAGAGGGGGTTGTGATTGAAGGTTTGTAAAGGATGATGAAAATCGAAGTTTACGGTTATGGAGATTTGCGATTTGCAGAAGGTGAATGAAGATGATGATGCAAGATTAAAGAATTGTGTAGAGAGAGCTGAGAGAATTTGTTGACATTCTTGGTGATTCTTCCAGAAATTGGAGAACGAGGAAGGTCCATTCTGATTTTAGAGAGAGAGTGATTCAAATAATGAAGTTTCTGTTTTTTCTTGTATGGTTCTTTAAAATGTGAAGAATGAAGCAGCAGGAGAGAGAGAGAGAGAGAGAATTTTCAGATCTCTTTTTGGTGATTCTCCAAGGAGTGTTGAAGACTGATGAAGATGAGGATGAGAGGAGGAGAGAAAGTTTTCTTGGTGATTCTTCTGCAGAGATTTTGAAGAATCAATGTGAATTGGTAAGTTTCTATAGTTAAATCTATTATGCATGAGTTAAAAAATAATGAATCTCCCCCTGTTATATAGCTATCAAAAATCTGTTAGAAAGCAGTTAGTTATTATTAGTTGGTTATCTAGAGTTAGTTATAGAATTGGTTAGGAGTTAGTAACTGTTTAGAGTTAGTTAGAAAATTTTGCATTCTGTTAGAAATTTTGGTTAGAAATTTGTTATGGAATTTATAAAACTGTTAGGACATAAGTTGGAACTAAGTTTGTTATGATCTTTTTTTTTTTGATGGTTTGAGTTTGACTTTCTCAGGACTCCTTAAAGGAGCGGTTAAGGTAGCTTTGATCTTCATTGTAGATGAATGACTCTGTACTTCTGCTTCACTGATATTCACCCTGCTGAAGTGTGGAACAAGCACTGAGAGCCTTTCACCCTTATGTAATCTCTTTGACAAATATGACTCAGCAACTACAGGAAGAAGATCTTTCATCTGAATTTCAGCACCCATAAATGTGATTTGGCCATCAAGATGAACCGTAACCTTTGAAGTAAGTGCGGAATCTTGAAGAAAATACAGAAAAGGTTTCTTGATGTTGAATTTGTCATTAAGGTATAAAAGAGACGATGAGTCAGATGAGAATGGTTGGTGAGGTTCATTAATGGCTGACAACTGCAATTTCATCAAGTCTAATAACAAGGATATATTTGCACCATCTACCCGTGACTCAGCAGTTCCTGATTTTGGGAGATTTGAAACTGTATCATGCTTAGTACATTTCTCAACAATGCCAAAGCCTAAAAGTACTGCATTTGAATAGGATTCTTGTGCATCAATTGATACATGCCATTGGGGCGAGGAATCAACATTGACGAACTGAGTTTCATCAAACCAATTTTTTCGGGTTTTAACGGGCTCTCCAAATGGACTTGAGTTAAGAAAAGGATACTGACAATTGAGCATATCTGGTTTTGCTAAAGAAGAAGGTGCAAAAGTTTGACACTCCTTGACATGTGTTGTGGGGAAGGCAAGGGGTGAAGGGTAGATGTGAGAAGCCATTAGAGAGAGTGTGTGCACCATTTTTTGAAGGAAATGAGAAACTAACAGCACCCCATCCACTAGTCCCACACACCACTTGTTCTGTAATTCCAGAGGGAGATTTTGTTTCCATTTTAACGAGGCTTCAAACTGTATTAGCCCTGAAGTTTCTTGACATAGATTTAGCAACAAGAGCATGAATAAAAGTAGTTGCAATTGGACATATGTGATTATGGTTATTGTTGGACATTGTTCCGAAGCTTAATTTGATTTTCCTTTCAATTGCAGTTAGTTTGAATGATGTGGACCTATTCTCTGCCAAAGTTAAGGTATGCAGGTTGTTCCATATATGTGTTTAGCATTTGGTTTGGGTTAATTAATGGTTTTTCATGCGTCGAGTAATTTGTATGAGCATAGGATATTTTGGCATGATTGCTTGTATTGACTTGGATTTTTTTTGTATGAATGTGCAGGTCATGAACTGAAGATGAAGAACTTTGACATGGCATGGAATTAGAAGTTTACTCATGGAATTTTAGCACCTTTAGGACTAAAGAATTTTGTTCAAGTGTATTTTGTAACAGTTTTTTTTCTTTGTAGAATATTGGTGTAATGGGATTGTAATGATTTTATAATGAATGTTTGGTTTGGATGAACTTGAAATTTATAGTGTGAGTTGTAAATGACCTTTGAGCTTGAAATGTTGGGTGATGAATTTTTTTGGACGGAGTTTAAATGACAAAGTCTTGAAAAAATGCTTGAAGATATGAAAGCATCAAATTTTCTTGTAAGGTATTGTTACACTTGAATGAAATTGAATGGAATTGGATAGTATTTTCTTGAATCATGAATGAAAGGGTTCGAATAAACTTTGAACACATGTCAACTTGAATCTGGAATAACGATGAACGTATTTGTAATGCGTATGAACTCCGACTTGAAACGAAACCTCGCAGTCTGTACTTTACCTTCCAAGAAAGCCATATGAACAATGCTTAAGACTCTTTGCCGACTTTAATTCAACCAAACACTTTCGAACATCTTGAACTCAAATCAAACTTCAAATCCAAATCACACTTGCATTCTCAATGAACTCCTAACTTCAATCTTGAATGACAAATAATTTGAATAGCCAATAAGATTTTGATCCTAAAAAATTCACAACCTTGCCCTTTTGCATCATGCCTCATCCTACGATTCAATCCACAAGTCTCTTATCTCGACGAGGTCCTTCTCTAATTGACAACCTTTAATCATCAAAGATGTACACAAATGATAATGATAGAACATGATCGAGATTAACATGAAACTTTATTTCCCTTGATCTTCAATTACTTGAACATTTATCAATGAATAGAAACCCTGATTTTTAATGAAATCTTCCTTTTCTGAACCAATATTTCTTTTCCTTTACCATACTATTCTTCAAATGCAACTCGAATTCCCAACACATATTAGATAAAAATTCAAGGGAGACCTTGGCCCCAAAGTTAATTGTTCAAAGCTTACTTTAACCGAAGTCAACAGATCTTATCCTCGTATCTTTGAACTTGGCCCATGATTATGCATCTCAAGGTCTCATAAGATCTTGTAAGCCCATCAACTAGGTATGCCATGTTGAACAAAACCCTGCCTTGAATGCCTTGAACTTTCAATTACCTTGCATGAATTCTTCCCTGAGAAACCCACTTCAATCCCAACCTACTCGCATCGCAGATAACAAATGACAATGATGAGGACAATGATAGCCTTGGTTAAGGAGAAATCTATGAATTCATATCTTAGGTCATGAACCACGCTTCACAATTCAATCCCCAGCCCTTAGCGATCGGTTATTTCAACTTGAAATTAGCGTCATAAGGAACATCTTACAGAGGGATGATAAAGTCTGAATCACAGAAGAATTCCCTTGACGTGAAACCTAGTTGCACAAATGAAAACCCCAGCACTTGCCGAGACTGGATAAAAGTAGTTATATCTTGAGGAGAAAGAAATCATCTTAACCACACCTCACAATCTTGATTCCCCGTTTAGATGCACAGAGAAATATCCCGATAAAACATCTTTGAACCATGATTCAACAAAACCTAAATTGATTAACTTAGGAGTAGATGAATGTCATGTCACAGTCATTAATCCTAATCAAATGACAAGTATACTTATAGGAAAGGATGCCATGCTTCAAAGTCCACATATGCTAGGTCACGTCCTAGAGTTCTTGACCAGAATGACCTACAACCAGTTGTTCATCAAAAAATATTAGCCCAGTAACTTGGTGGAGAAGAAGTCCAGAAATGAGCCAAAAAAAACTAATTCCAAAGCTTGCTGCATGAATAAGAAATCGTCCTTTATTAGATACGAGCGCCTTAACCACTGTGAAACCCTAGTATCGCACAACCACTGAACTTTACTTTGAACCTCAGAGCTATATTGAATGAAATGCATGCCATGTTAGTGACCTAATGAAATAGATGCAGATGAATGCAAAAGTCTAAGCCAAAAAAGTTCAATTAGGAGGGCAAATTTTGGGGTGCAACAGCTGCCCCTATTTAATCGCCTTCAATCCTGAAGGTGAGATTGGCGCCAGCCTTTCGAACTTTCAGGGTGGAAGAAGATTAAATACTAAAAGAACCCAAAAATTTGCGCTCCGAAGCCAGTCAGGTATTATTATATCTTTGGTTTTTCTGTATCTTCTGTATATATTTTTTGCTTTCTAGGTTAAAGGGGTTATCGGGGTTAGATGTATGTTTAACCATGGTTTGACACACAGCAGAATAACTTGGTTATAAAGGAACAACTGTTGGGATTTAGTAACAAACATCTGTAAGAAAGATATCAAAAGATATATGCCTGAAGTCTGGAGCAGACATATGAAAAAAAGTATCAGAGACACATATCCGGGGTTGGTATTGGATACGCAAGAAAGAGACATCAAAAATACATATCCGTGGTCGGTATCGAACACGTAAGAAAGAGATAGAAAAGATACATATTCGTGGTCGGTATCAGATACGCACAAAAGATATAGAAAAGATACATATCCGTGGTTGGTATCGGATACGCACAAAAGAGATATCAAAGATACATATCCGTGGTCGGTATCGGATACGCACAAAAGAGACATCGAAGATACATATCTGTGGTCGGTATCGGATACGTACAAAAGAGATATCAAAGATACATATCCGTGGTCGGTATCGGATATGCACAAAAGAGACATCGAAGATACATATCCGTGGTCGGTATCGGATACGTACAAAAGAGATATCAAAGATACATATCCATGGTCGGTATCAGATACGTAAGAAAGAGATATCAAAGATACATACCCGTGGTCGGTATCGGATACGTAAGAAAGAGATATCAAAGA